AGTTTTGCTAAAATCGTCCTTGCAAAATGCGTTAGCAAGTACCCTAAATGATCAGGACCTCAAGACGCCCAGTTGATCAGAACTACACGACGTGTATGGCAATGACAGTCGCACCAGCTACACAATCGTGAGTTTGGATACATCGCTTTCGGTATGTCGCGAAACTTCACCAATTCGGAGTTCGCTAGACAGAAACGAACTGTTCCACAAGCCACAGTAACTACCCTTGTAGTGAACAAGAAATAAATGAGGCACCGAATTTAGTTTGACAATGTTTTTCAGGCTCAGTTCAGAAAGGAAAACAAACATTAGATACTGGGAAAGGTACGGTCACCAGTTCAGGGAAATGCGGTAGAAACTAGCTCGCGCGACTGATGAAATACATTCGTTTGCCAATGATTATCGAGAGACTCAGCTGAATCTCTCGTCCATAATATTCTCCAACTGGATTCGATGGAGAAAGATTGTCTCATGTTTCGGTAAGCAGGTTTTTCTAGATATCGCAGCATATTTTTTTGACACTGCACACATGAACTCTTCGAAGCCCTCTTTTCACAATGACCGTTTTCCGTCAACCATATGCATATCAAGAAAAATACACTGCAGCACCTCGAATAGCAAACCAGCTGAAATCTGAGACAGCCTTTATGTGTGTTGAAGAATATCATGAACAAGAGATTCAGTTGAGTTTCCCGTTACCCGAAGAGTCGCATACAGTTCTGTGGTCAAACAGAAAACGAAGCTAAATGTTTCACTGGAAGAAGCGGTCTATTTTATCCACGAATACATTGAAACTCATCCCTAACCGCTTATTGAGAGTCCTCTCATCCTTCGCATCAAAATGTAAAAGCTTTATTTTTAAGCCATGAGTGGAAGCGAATCGATGACGTGGCGTTGGACCAATTGTGTCTTATCTGTCGATGAAGACGGAGGCACTTCTTTAATGCTGTTTTTATTTTGATCATGTTCGCGCTTACCGATGGAACTGTTTCGTGTCGTCCTTAGCCCGTCACATCTGAACACGGGCTCATGTACTTGAGGACGATAGTTCCTTTGGCCCTCTATGCATCTTAACGGTTAGACTCTTGGATGGAGAATGCAGCAACTCATCATACACGTGTAGTCTGTCTTAACTTGGACATATCACTCAATCTTTTGACCAATTCTGTGTCTGCTGAGTCCCCTATCTTTGAAGGCCCTTCAAATGTGGACATCGTCCTCCAATAGCGTACCTTGAGTCAGCCGACTGACTGTTTCATGGGTTACTAACATGATAATGGTACTAACTTACTAACGTGATGGTATCTATAACATACCATTCCTAGTTTGGACGCCATTTGTCGTCGGCTTTAGGACTTAGTTTGGACTGCCCAGAAACCCTTAAGTTCGAGTGGTCCTGTTGGTATCTGCCCCACAAGAGGCTGATTGACTGCGCAAAATGGTTGAGTTAGCCGTCACACGCTCACTAGACCAATTAACTGTTATCAAGGTGAATAGTGTGCTATCTGCGTTGTCCTTAGTGCCATTGTGCAGTATGATGCTTGTGGTAATTAATGTTACTCCATTGGGGCTTCCATTCATCCGCTCTCGTTTTAATCCGAAGTCTGTTGTGCCGAGGGGTGAGATGTGAATAGATGCGTTATTGTGTTGGAATATCAGTTACTTCAGTGTTTAGATATACACTGGCTGTCTTGCGTTGCCTGAGTAATCTCGTTTATCTTTGGGAAGATCTTGAGAGGTATGATTGCAGGCATGTTGAAGTCCATGTTGAATTGTCTCAGATTCGTATCAGATGCGAGGTT